TTATGCCATATAAGTTTCATGTCGCATATTGCACGGGTTCGAATGATCATGATGCTCCCTTCCAATTTTGTTGAGTTGGATCTGCCATCTCAACTTTTTGCTCCCTGTGGACTGACACAAACGCAGGCCTGCAAGGGTTGAACACGCTCAAGTCTTGGAGGTCCCTCGGGGGAGAGACCAGCTTTTTTTCTGACATGTGAAAGCCAGGACCGCGTGGTGCGGATGCACCCCGCAGGTTCCTCTTTTTTTTCGATGTCGATCACGTTTGCGCAGCTCGCTCACTCACTCACATACCTAGTCGCCTTACAACACCAAATTCCCCCAACCTTACCCAAACGACGGCGCCTGGCGAGGGTATACGTTTCAGCTTCTCCGTGTCTGCATCTCTGCGATATTAAGTCGGAGATGACTTCCGCATGTCTCCCGCTAGCTTACACGCAATCCCGTTCATCCATTCTGGCCCGTATCCCACCCAGTGAGGTTCGTCAATGTCTTGGATGGCGGGGGAGAATGCCCGTGGTGGGGTAGAGATGGTCCCCCGGCACCCCTCTCCCGCCCCAAAAAGCGCCCGCGGTTTCTTGATCGCGGGGGAAAGATCTGAGCGGCCGGCGGTGACGGGGAATTTTTTTTAAACGATGGTTGGAAGATAAGGGAAAAAGGGACAAAGCGGTGGACGACTGGTGTGCTATTTGGGCTGTCGGCGGCTGTGTGAATCTACTACTACTAACTAGTACTCGGATCTATCTCAACTAAACCCTTATGCACCCCTTCTTCGCCCTACGGTTGGTTGGGTGGGATGGCACGGAGGTGTGGCTTGTCTAGTTTCCTGCCAACGACGATTTTGTTGGTGTGGATGGCTGGCGTCTTAGACCTTGGGTAGGAGGGCGAGGGAGATCAGCTAATTCTAGTCAGATGGCGTTCGACTACTTTCCCCCCTTGTTTTCTTGGGCTACCGGCTAGTGCCCGTCGGTGAGGCACGCTGGGCAGGGTTTCGAAGCCGAGGTTGGTCTAGTGGTTTCTGGTGTTTGGAATAACGTGACGGCGAGAATGATCGGCGTTTGTGTCCCTCGGGGACCATCTTTCACGAGGATATTTCGGGTCGCTTTTGCGAGGGCGGGCTTTTGTTGTTGACGTTTTGACACGAAGAAGAGGCTGGCTTTCCTGATGCGGTATTCCGTGGGGGGCCGCTGTTGTTGTCCGAGGAGGCTGAGTGAGGCTTCAACCGGCCAACATGGGGGTCGGGTCGGTGCCCAGAGGGATGAGATGTGGCGTGGAAAGTGTCAACTGCCTCTCAGTTGGTAAAGTCCAAGCACCTTTTGGTTATTTGTGTTTTCTTCTGGTTGTCATTGATTGCGCGAGAACGGATCCATCCACGCATGAACGACTACACAGCCACGAGCTCGGCTGAGTAACGCCCCGACGCCGGCGTCAAATCGGGCGTGTTATCGAGCGGAGGGACGGAAGACGGAGATGTGCCGTATGCGAGGACCAAACTTCGTTCCTGTCGTTGGGGGTTCGTGCATGATTGAGCGCCTCCGTCCCATCTCAATGCCTCGACGACAGGCGCGGGTTTTCAAGAGCGCAGAAGAGCCGAGGAACATCATGGTGCTCATGTCGATGTGATCGAACGAGATGAGCAGTGTGAGGCACAAAATGATGGAACAAACAGGTAATGGCATGAACTGTAAGGCGAGTGTGGCTAATCGATGAGAAAGTCTGTCTTCTCAACTCGTCCTGCTATCTCAATATTGAATCGTCACTTGTCTACGATCATAACTAGAGAGGAACGCCACATACCATTACCTCTGATGTTACTAAGCAACAGACTTCAGGAGTATCACAACTAAGAACATCCTGTACAAAGTTGCGTTTGAATATTCCTTCTTATTTGTGTTGATGATGTTTTCATCTGCTGTTGTTTGCGCTGATCGAAACCGACAATGACACATAAAGCCGAGCGAGCGAAAGCGGTACTGTTGTCGTTCTGGATACGAAGTATCCGAGCTGCTCGCGGAAAGCTGTTTAGCCAGACTGGGACGTGACTATGACCGATGGATAAGCTACGCGGTGCCTGTTCCTACCATGCGTATTCTCATTTAGGAAGAGCGGTTGACAGAGCACAATTCGTAGAACCAATTGCATCTGCATCGACTCGTACCAATAGTTCAAACGGCTCTTTGCAAAGTATAAACAAATGAACATGGACGTATTTGTCTTTCTCCTCGTTGTAATCCTGTTGAGAACGCTAGTCGCTCATGCTTGCATTATCGAACTGCGGAACTTCTCCGAGCATGTCTGAGATTCCGTTTTCAGTCCGCCCACAAATGTTCACGCACGACATAACTCTGATGGGATTCTGGATCAATTGAAGAAGACAGAGAGGTTGCTGAAGGAGACGCCGGCTCCCATTTACGCGCGGCTGAGGGTAATCATATGTGAGAAAGAGACACGAAGTACCATGCTCATTCAATAGTATCAGGACACTCAGACTCATGTTGACTTTGTGCAACTCATTGTGGAGAAGCAGCGCATCTGGATTCATGTATGGAGGCTCATGCATGAGTGAACTTGTTGGGTCTGAAGTTTATGTATGGCTTATTGAACTGAGCCTCACCTGAATCAGGACGTTTGACGTCTCCAAGTACATGCTCATGTTAAAGTGGGCCTTTTCAGTACTACAAACGTTGAAAATTAGGCCGTTTTCGCATCCCTGCTCACTTTCGATCCGGCATGTCCTGGCCGCACGGTTTTGGTGAGAGCCCATCTCATATGCGAAGTATAAACTTACACGAAACGCTTATAAACTGCCAGTGAGCAGCGTTGTACTTCCTCCCAATTTCGAAGCTCTACCATGGGGTCTTTTTACAGCCGCTGGTAAGCAACATTGTCGAGATCGAGGCAGTGAAAAGTATTCAACTGCTTGCCGTATACCGTGCAGCTCATACCTTGAACTTGTCTGGGGTTTGAGCCGCCTTGGACGCCAACGCAGGTACACCTCATGACAGCATCTGTATTGACGGCAGCAGAGAGAATGAATAAGGCCGTGGTGAGCTTCACTATGGATATGTGCGTCGTTTCTGATGAGAGGGCTAGCTCTCAATGAGTAGAAAGTAGACTGTAGAGTGAAATGGTCGAATACTCACGTATAGATTTGAGATGCGTTCGCGATGGAAAGGGAGACTTGAGATGATGATTGTGAGCTGCATCTCAGATATTGACTCTATTCAATTTCTCTGCATAGACACTAGTAGATCAGGCGTGAAGATGAGCGAAATTGCCGACTGAAGCGTTCAGCTTCGTTGGTGTTGCGACGCTACGTTGATTTCTGAACAAAAGGATTCGAAGATTTCTCTTCAAGATCTCATGTTGAGTTGATAACTTCCAGTCACGAGCCCAAGGTAAGTATCCTTCCGGACCATATCTCACAATCTCCCTCCTCGTTCACCTAAATGCCTGGATCTATCTTATCCTAAAGTAGAAGGTCACTCCAAATCCCTGCTATGAAACGATCTTCTCGTGATACTGTCAAGGATAAGCTTGTCGGGGAGAGACCATCATGGGCTCGGTGAACTCTTCACACTAAGCACGCGTCTTGATAAGCAATGTCTGAAGGCATTGGAGAACGGCGCCTGTGTCCGCCGAGCTCGTATCAACTCAGATTGGGAACCTTACCGCTTGACTCTTGATTCGCATGACTCTGCGGGTCGGCGCGCTTCCAGCTATAAGTGGAAATATGAAATACGATATTGTAGATGGGATCTTATATGCACGGTATGAAGTCGTGAACAAAATGAGATGAGCAAAAGACTTACGAGCAACCCCGCAATCAGCTTCTTTCTTCGTGACTAGACGGCGAAAACATGCTTCTCTTTTATCGCTGTGTCACTTTCATGTGCCGAGCCGCTCATAAATGCCCAGCTGCATACTCCCAGATGCTGACATTAGGATCTTGACACCCGTCGTAATGTGGCGGCGGACAGTCCCAAGGATTCGTTAACCTCAGTCACTCTTGTCTTTCCAGTCGTAATCTTGCGGCTGACACCGGTAGCCACATGCCTTCATCACCAACAGGAACGGGAGCATGAATGGTTTGGCTGCCATGGGGTTTAGTAGATTTCTTTGGTTGTTATCGTCAAGAGCAAAGTTCATCACCCCTGAAGTTTGGTCGTGGATCCATGAGTATGAGGATCGCGTCCCGCCGTCTGATCGGTCGCCGGTGAAGATGGGGTCCGATGGGAGTGTATTTGAGGGTTCATATTTCACCATGAGATCACGCAAGATTGATGCTTTTTGGCCATGTTACAGAAACTTAGGACCTTATGAAAGTTGTGTTGTCAACTGTGATGGGCTTGTGTGTCGGCCCTACGTCAGGAAGCCTCTAGAAGCCGTCCTGGTTGAGTCAATTTGCAACGATGAAGTCACGGTGCTTGGCTGTCGATATCTCTCTCTCTCTTGTGCCTATTTTCTCTAATTGATATCAGTAGTCATTTATCACAAAGCTCGTATTTATTTGTTCCCCGTCTTGGCAATAAGCCTCGATCAATTTCAACACTTACATGGGGAGTCAGTTGCACCTATTTCGACTGTTGAGGCACCTGTGGGCAGCTGCCGTAGTGATCTGTGCGCCTGGGCCGCCCAGTCGTCTTCTAACCTCGAGGACTCTGCGCCCTCCTGACTAGTTCTCCTCCATACACCAACAACCCATTTGCTACTCTGCCTCGATAACACCAATTGCAACACCCTCGTTTGGTCGGTAGAGCTACGCAAAACCGCATTTGTACGCCAGATGCCGCGTTTGCTGCGATGCGTACGCGTGTGACAGGGTGAACCCAACAGGTCGCACTGCTGGCGAACGCACATGCCCTTGGCGGCCCTCTCTCGAGCGACATTTCTAGAGGTAGCGTGGAAGAAGTAAACCACCGGTTTCTGGATTTGAGGTTTTACCTCGTATATCCCGTCCTCGACCATAAACGATGAGAGCAAATAGGAAGCCGCACGAATCATATCAGCAAGAAATCCTCCCCGGTCCTGGCGTCGAGATCGTCCCTCAACGCCTCGTCGTCTTGCCCGCAGGCCCGTCGGAATTGATTCCAATCCTCGTTGCAAATATCCCGGAACGAAACAGCACCAACTCTTGACAGATTGTTGCCGTTTCGCTCTACCAATATACCGACTCCAAAATGCTGTTCATCCACGATATCTTCGTCCTCGAGATAGTCTTTGTTTCGCAGTTTATCACCCAACCTATCGATAAAGTGCCTCGAAGCCGCCAGAAGAAGGAAACAGCAGGGGGTCTCGTTCTGTGAGGGCGCGACGTCAGGATGCGCTGCGAAAACCACTTGCTTTGCACCAGGTTCGCCAATGGTGAACTCCCACTGCCCACTCTTCGGGACGGCTCGAACGTTGCCCCTGCAAATGTGTCCCCGAAGAGCGATTGCCTTGGACCGGAGGGTCGAGGCCTCGTCCATGTTCGGCTTGTCACCCCTCACCGGGCTCTCAGTCTTAGGGCCATGGCCATGGGAACGCTTCGCTCTGGAAACGGTAAGCTTAAGTTTAGCGTCCATGTTCTTGGTCTCCTCCCGCCAGATCCTCTTATACTCGCCCTCGATCCGACCCCAGACAGCCTTCTCAAACTGGAACTCGAGATTACCCCCCTGGTGGCTCATCACTTTGTAACATCGCGGCGGGTCGTGGACTCTTGGAGGGATCTGGATCGTCCCCTGGAGACGAGTCCACGACCACGACGGGGCCTCATTCGACACGTCCGGGTAAGATGACATCCCCGGATCCGTCACCCGCCACGCGAGCTGCTCCTCGATTCGCGTCGACCACAAGCCGTACGCGTACTCCTCGCCCAGCGCGTCTCTGACAAGCTTTGCGACGCCCCATATCGCGGGGTTTCTATCGCTCGACTTCGTGAGGTTGCAGGCGGTGTAGGTGCGGACCGCGCTCTCCCAGAATTTCTCGAGAGACCCCTCGGAGGTGTCCACCAGCGGGCGGACCGTGATAGCGGCATCCTGGAGGCGTTGGCGCCAGTACCGGTCCACACCTGCTCTGGTGTCGAGGGAGGCGGGGAGCCCGTCGGGCAGGATCTCGCAGGCGGACTTGGTGGCACAGTCCCAGAATATTTGCTGGTGGCCGAACTGAATGAGACGGAGTGAGAGCATTCGCTCTTATTCCCTAGTTGTCAGATAGGTTTTATGCTTGGGAAGGGAGACATACCCTGAAAGACCCATCCGCGAGTGTAGAGATGGCATCCCAGCAGGTTCTGGTCCCAGAGGTCCGAAGGAAGGATCCTCCAGCTTCTACCGCCAAACCTCGGAGACACGCCTATCGGGATATAGCGCGTAGGGGTTACAGCAGGCGCTGGTCTTCGCCTTTGAAACAGGCCACCCATCTCGTCTTCTGACGGAGCAGCTGCTGGCCGTCGCTGTCGAAAAAGACCACCGGTGTGGTCTGGCGACACAGCCGCCGCAAGGTTACAAAAGGAGTTGCGGTACACCTTGTGCATGAGCTTCGACTCCACGTTCCAGTCGTCTTTGCTATCTTGAATGATGCAGACCGAGTCGATCCAGACATACCGCTGTTTCAATAGCCATGTTATCTTGAGCGCCTGCGCGAAGTTGACGTTGCCGCAGATGTCCTGCCCGTGAGGTGCCGTCTCCCACGGGATGCCCGTCGTGGTGAACTCCTCCATGTCCTTCTCGGTGAGCTGCACGAACTTGCCCTTTCCCCAGCAGTGGCTCAGCGTCATGTATGGCCCCTTGACGCCCATTTCCTTGGTATCGACAAGCTTAACATGTTTCGGCGGCCAGGTCTTCTCCGTGCCGACGTCGAGGACGCGTGTCGGGATGAAGTCAAGGCTGCCGTGGCGGCGTTTGCAGTTCGGGTGGTCATTGGCGCACCTACTCACCCACTCAGCCATTTGCGTCACCGATTCTTCGGAGTCTGTTCCCGCGCCCAAGCTGTTTTCGTTGGGAATGAAGCCCAGATCTGTGAAGTGCGTTCAGTTTTTGGGTATAGGGGCTTCACCAACAAGGTCGCGACATGCCTTCTTCTGGGAACAGATCGAAGCGAAGCTCCGGGAGGTCCTCGCTCTTGGCCTTTCCCTTTTCCCGGCCCGGGACCGGACGGAATGTGATTGAAAAAAAGCTGCTCGCGTCCCTCATCCGAGCAGCCTCGCGCGTACTCCATCTATACAGCGCCGGCGTCCCGTTCGCGTTATCGAACCATGACTTCAAGTCTTGCGTAGCGTGAGCCAGTCTCTCGCAGAAGACGCATCCTGATTCTGCCGCGTCCTTGAAGTCGACAAAGTCGGAGTGGTGATAACCCCAGAGTTTCTCCGACTCCAGGACGTTCCGTTGGCAGAAGTCGCAGATTCCCATGACGGGTCGCTATCAATTACTGTAAGGACTGCGCCGGCGTATGTGGTGATGTTGCTGATTGGTGAGGAGACTAGTCCGAGACGCAGACTGTTGTCTGCGAAGATGTCAGCATAGCCAACCCAAACCCTGGCCAAGCGGGGGCTGGGAACGTTTTAAAATAACGGGCTAGGATATGTGTGCGTCTGCGGGCTGACCACAGCCGCAATCAAGCTGCCTAAAAAGATCGACCACTTCCTCTAGAGACCTCCACCGTCACATGATGTTCTGACTGAACTATTCCCGGGGTGGCTACATGTGGAAAACACAGAAAACCGAGACTTCGAGTTTTAGATGAAGGTCATCAATTATGGAAAAGACTGATTTCGTACATACATAATGTACGTATCGACACTTATGTGAATTGTGTGCTATTGATATTGACATGGTTAAGCAGACAAGCTTTCTGATGAAGGAACAACGACAAGAATTATCTAATATTCTGATATCTCTGGTGATTACATACACACTCGTCATTCTCATTTCAGACGAATGCCTGAGTAGATGCTCTCGAGAGCTTCTTCTTCTTGGGGGCCGTCACATTCGCCGCGTCTGCCACTGCATCTGTAGGCATAATGACAGGCCCGGCGGAATCAAATCTGAACGCATCAGATATGACAGGAAGTTTGAACTCGGCACCACGTAGCCTCTTGAACTCCTGCCTCTTCAAAGCAGAAGACCTGAAACCTCCGTCGCTCTTTTGCGGGATGAACGGCTTCATGTTCTGATCAGACATTTGACCTTCTCGTCCACTCTTTGCGAGTTGAAAGGTCCCGCGGCGTTTCATCCCTTCGAGGCCGAACTCTACCAAGTTACATTTCTCGGCCACGTTGCCCTGCTCATCGACCCTGACACTATCAAAGTCGAGCTGTGCGTGCGCCCACCTCAGATCCTCGTGGTAGTGCCGCGCATACTCGTGGAACGCTTCGGAGTAGGCCCTGAGTGGCCGGTGGCCTAGGGGCACCATCACCACGAAACCGCAGGCCGCATGAAGCATCTCCTCGAGACTGCGGTGCGGCACGTGAGTCGGCGCCGGATCCGGCCCCGCCTTCCTCTTCACGCCGGACACGACCGGCGCTGACTGTGTTCTGAGGGGTTGCTGCCTCGCCGACGTCTTCGTCGGGTTGCGAAGGAGCCTGTCGAGGGCCTCATACGGTATGCCCAGGCCATAGTTGTAGTGCGTCACCGCCGCGATCACCTTGAATCCCAGGTCTCGCCTCTCCGGCGGCTGCTCCTCGACGCGCCTCATCCCGGCGCGGAAGAAGCTCACGATGTTGACCGGCAGGACGTCTGCCAACGGCGAGAATACGCTCTCCGCTGACTGCGCCTGGTGTTCATTGTCAAGGCGGAGACGCGCGAGGCTGACATTGCCTTCGGCCTGTTTCACGAGTTTGCCTTGTAGTTCCGTGAGAGCTTTGCCGTTTTCCGTGGCCGCGAGCTGTCGGCCCAGCCGGGAATGCGGAGGGAGCTTGTCTGGGGTTGAGCTGCCCAGACCTAGGTCTCCTTGTTCGGTCTCGAGATCGTGGTTGATGAACTGCTCGACCCGGCCGTTGTCGTTGAGGTTCAGATCAATGTGGCCATAAGGCTGGACGAAGTTGTCGGAATCGCCGCTTCACAACAGCAGCCAGCGTTAGCTTTGCTTCAGCGGTGACGTGAAGGAACAGATGTGCGTGTAGCACAATCTGGATTGTCCAAAAACCCAAAGACACAGTTCAAGGACGAAAGGACCAGGTTGACGCTGCAACTTACATACCATTTTTCGCAAGCCTCTTCATTGTACACGCAATCTTCGCAGAGAGTATATGTATTCTCGTGCTGCACCCCCTTCCCGTCACAGCTCTCGCATCCCCAAAAGAGGTTTAAACTCTCCTTCTGGCAAAAGTCGCACGTTGCTGACAGCGGAAATTCCTCGAGGCATGAGATGCGCGAGGTGAGGAACACCCTGAGCCCCCTGGTTGCCAGGTGGGACAGCTCGTCCTCGAGGAAGAGGTCAACGGCGGGGTAGCATCTATCGAAGTCGTCGATGATGAGGAACTTGTTCTCAAGCATGTCGAGGCGCAGGCAGAGCGCCTCCCGCACCAGCCGGATGCGGTGCCGGTCGCGGTGGCCGTGTTTCCAGGCCTCCAAGTACAGCTGATACTTCGCATTCGCCATGTCGCCGTCGACGTCGGCGTACTTGGCGGACAGCTGGAGGAACACGCTGGTGAGGACATCCTCGACGAAGGCGGTGCCGCTCGATGTCACGTCCGCCCCGATGAAGATGGAGGCCACGGCTTCCGTGTCTTCGTTATAACTTTCCTCCAACCTCTTCGTTACGACGGCGGACAAATTCGTCTGAGAGACAATGCAAATGGTCAGCGGGCAGATCTTAAAAACGGCGACATCTGGCACAAGTCATAAAGCCAGTCACGAGGTGATAGAAAGATCTGTGTCGCCCATGCGTGACGCGAAACTTCAACTACAACACCAATACCCGTCCCAACATGCTCACCTTGCCCGAGCCTGGTCCTCCTACGCAACGCAGCATCCACTGATACTCTGGGTTCTGCCAGCTCCCGAAGACATCGCTCTCCAGTAACCCGTTCCACAGCGGCTTCCATGTATCCGGCCCGAGCTCTGGACGTTCGCTCAACGCAGGATGCAGAACTTTGCGCTCATTGAACGGATTCCGCCTCGTAGGAGGTGTCTCTTCGCCCAGATTGTCCATTTCTGAGTGAAATTTTTACGAACGATAATTCCCGGCTTTTCTGAAGGTCGAGGGTCTGCTATTATTCCGTACCTTAGTTGGGTATACGTATCCGAATCAGCAGGGCTTCTCGAAGGTTGCAAGTTGGATTAAACTCTTGATTAGGAATGAGGGCGAAAGCCACCAGAATCAAGAAACGCCCGGGTACAACTACCGACGAATCGCACTCTTTCTCCATGACGGTAGGCACGCGGTTGCTGACTGCGGAGCATTCCGTAAGGCTACGGGTTGTGGAGGTACGAATATCCCTTGTACGGATAGTTGTTGCCTATCGCTGCGGGAGGGTGGTCACATTTCAATCCTTCATGCATGCACATACCAGGGGCTGCGCATCTCGTAAACACCAAATCCGTTAGTCTCACGAATCTTATTGCTCGCGAGAGGCTCGATGCCTTCAACCCCTGCATGTCTCATCCTTGGCTCTCTCCCGCACCTCATTCTTTTCGTCTTCATGTTCGAATGTCCTGCAGCATTGTGGAGAAAACACCAGGCAACCAGATCGGTGCTGGTAGCGCGGTATTTTTGAGTTATCTTGCAGGCTAACCGAGCCTACGAAAAATCGGCTCAGCCAGAATGGCGGGAGGGGAAGACTTTAGCTGGGCTGATTTGGCATTTTGATCCAGAATTTTCGAGGCTTCGTGCAGGTCGCCTCAGCCGCAGATCTTCCCAGCGGTGCCAAGAAGTCCGTCGAAGCCAGAATCTTACTCCTTTAGCGGCCTCAAACCATGAATTTTTCAGCACTTCATAGAAGTTGGAGGCACGGGATGCTCAACCTATCACATGGTCTGCGGCAATCGCGGGGAGACAGAGCCGTTTCATGCCACTGGCGCTACCATGTTGGCGATATCTTCAAACTCCAAACATATATGTCTGGTTGAATGGGTTGGCAAGCTGGTTGCCAGACCTTCTCCAAGAGCAACCCGGGGTGTTCACGTGGTCAGCTAAGCTTTCTTGTGGTGATGCAATGAGATGCAGCCACAAACAGGGTTGTGAGATTAACGGCCTAGACACCATGGCCCAGCCCGCCTCTTAAGTCGAGTCGGTATCAAAGCTGGTGCCTGGTCGCAAAATCGACACCCTGATCATGACAACACAGCCAGGGTGGGCTCGACAGGGGCTAACGGGCCTGGAAAGGCACATCAGCCGCAGCGTCAGCATGATCCATGGCTTGCTTGTCTTCTGATGAGGAAGAGACAGCGTGCCAGACGCTGGTGAAAAAGCTGCCACTCCCTCCACGTCGTAGGAGAGGCTCTTGAATGATGCTCTCTTGCCAAGGTCCATCCTCAACGCGCTCCATTCAACGCCCACGATGTTGCTGGGACACTTCACCGTGCTGCTGAGCCTTTGCTGCGGTCTTGCCATTGCACGTCCGTCGGCTCGACCGAGAGAACTTCCACGCCGCCAAGATGGGCCTGAGCAGACGCCCATGTGCGGACGCATCATCGATGCCGTCAACAAAGGTGAGACGAGTAGAGAGCTGCAGCGTAGGCATGGACTGTGCTGATTTAGATAGGACAACGCTACTTCTACGCCGCCGATGCGTACGAGTGCCTGACCAGTGTCCCGTTCCACGAGGCAATGGCTCTTCGCTTTATCGACTACTACAACACCACGATGCAGTTCCAGAGCACCCTAGCGTACCTCAAAGATCCGCCGGAAGGCTATCAACAGCCTGCGTTTGACCTTATGCAGGGGTTGGAAGATCTGAAGAAGAATGTTACGGCGGGCGTCTTTAAGAACCAGTACGATTTCGAGGCCACCTTACAGTACCTCGTCTACTCGGTCCATGATGCCCACGTCGATCTGTTCGCGGGCGTGCTTTCCGCCTTCTCCTTCGCCAGCCCGTGGCCTCTCGTCACGGCATCCATCGATGGGAAGGAGATCCCAAAGGTCTACTTTGCAAGTACGGATAACCAGTTCCAGCCTGTTATGACAAGCTTCTGATGGCTAACCTTGATAAAACAGGCGACGTTATTAATCGCAGGAATAACATCACCAAAGGCATTGAACCCTACATCTCCGCTGTGTCCCATATCAACGGCCGACCAGCAATGGATTTTTTGACCGATTTTGCGGCTCTACAGTCCGTGGGCATGCTTGAACCCCATGCCGATTGGAACGAACTCATGGACAGCCCGGTCCAGGACATCCATGGGGTCTACAGCATCTTCGCCGGCGAAAGCACCTTTTATCCCGGCAAGACTTTGAACTTCACATGTGAAGATCAGACAGTTTGGGAGACTTCCTGGGCCGCCATCTATAATAACCCCGAGTTCACCGGTCCCCTAACGACAGGGGGCGACTTTTATAACTTCTTCGTCCTCGGATTACTGCCTGCATCCTACGAAGAGGTCCCACTCCCAGTAGTGTTTGGAGGACAGCCCTCTGGCAATGCGTCTGTGGAAGAAGTATCAAATGTCGCCAATGGAACCGGAGAGGCCGGAGCGACCGATAACTGGAACCAGGCAAGTTACGGTGCCTTTCCGAAAGACCCAGACATCGTCCAATTCGACCTGGGTCTCTACGGTGGCGGCATCATCACTGGGTACTTCTACGATGATATATCCACCGGAGTGATCAGCATCCCCCATTTCGAACAGTACGACTGGGACTTTGGCAATTTCAGCCAGTCGCTCGCGGACTTCATGGACGGTGCTAAGGCAAGGGGACTCGCACACATCATTGTCGATGTGCAGAAGAACTATGGCGGCTCTACCGGCATCGCATTGCTACTCTTCCGGGAACTCTTCCCAGGAGTCGACCCGTTCACGGGAAGTCAGCGACGTAGCCACGAGCTGGGCAACGTTCTGGGCTCGTCCACGACAAGCATCTACGAGCGGTGGGCGGTTGGTAACGAGACGCAGAGGGATGATGCCCTGGCTCTCATGGCGGACGAGTGGGTAATCACAACAAAAGTCAACGCCGACACGGGAGTCAACTTCACCTCTTGGGAGGAGTATCAAGGTCCCAGACAGGAGAAGGATGAAAACTTCTCTCTCGTGGTAAGTCGTTGACTGGCGTGGCGCTTCGCACGTGGACTGCACTAATCGTTCATCGCAGGAAGAATATGACATCAAGAACCCGAACTTCCACGCTGCTGCACTTGACGGATGGATTCTGAATCGCTACTTGGACGAAGACGATGCGGAAAGGAAAGAAGCTGTGTGGGCCCCTGAAGATGTGGTTATCGTAAGTTCGAATGTGTCAGCCCCTTACTCAATGGTCTTTTATCTCACACCCAATCCCCCTAGCTCACCGACGGAACCTGCTCCTCCGCCTGTGCCATCTTCGTCGAACTCGCAACAACTCAGGGCGGCGCCCGGACTGTCGTCGTGGGCGGCGCGCCTAAGCCAGGCCCGATGCAAGCGGCCAGCGGAACTCGCGGCATGCGCATGTACTACAGCGACGACCTAGACATCGACATCTCGTGGGCTAGAAATCTGAACGAGACGGCAAATGCCCGTCTGCCCGCCAACAGAAACGAGACAGGCATCTACATCAACTACGCCGGCTTCAACCTCCGCGACCAGCTGCGCGAGGACGATGTCTCCACCCCTCTCCAGTTCCGCTACGCCGCGGCCGACTGCAGGTTGTACTTCACCCTCGATAACGTGTACAACATGTCGGCTCTGTGGCACGACGTCGCGCGCGCCGCCTTCGAAGACCCCGGCCTCTGCGTGGAGGGCTCGACGGGGTATACGTCCAGGACCGCCAACGGCGCGCCCAAGGCCCCTCCCAGCCGTTCTCCCGTCCGCGTACCCTCGCCGGAGTCGGCGACAGCCTTCACCACCGACTATGATCCTATTTCCTACGACGGCCTACCGGCTGGCCAGCCTAGGACAGGTAATAATGTGGAGTTGAAGGTCTGCGATCCGAACGTCCAAGGCCAATGCCCGGGCGGGCAGTGCAAGACGTTCCCTACGAGCTGCAGTGACGGACGAGTCCGGGTCAGTGTCTGTACCAACAGCTGTGCAGCGTTCTCGGTGTGTGAGGGCAACTTAAAATGCGATATGAGCAGCAGCCGGCCGACCACAGAGTCAAAACAGCAATTGGACCCGTCTGGCGATTTTGTAACTTCGTCACAAACGTTCGGGTTCTGCCCGCGTACCGACGTACAGTTATGCGGAACGAAGAACCCTGACCCAGCGGCTCAAGATACAACAACTACAAAGTCCACGGGAACCAAACGAGGCAAATTCACTCCGAAGGTAAAGGGAGGCAGTGTATGACGTGTTTGATCTCTGACTCTTCAAATGGGACTCGAAAGCTTCTTTAGCTGTCGTTCAAAAAGCGACTGCCGATCCAATAATAATAGTACGGCCATTATAGACTCACGCATAATACATTGATCTGTTCGCTTCGTGCCTCTACTTTGCTCTCCCCGATCGTGAGGCTTTGCTGCCCGGTACATTATTGTTGGAAAATTGGTAATGTGAGCAAATTAATCACTACGTTTAGACATCAAGCGTCTATAGGTTGTTGTGACCTTCCGTGACTCAAACTGCGGGCTTCAAATGTAGTATTGACCATGCTAAGCTATGGATGTTAATACCCCTCCATGGATGCCGTCCTCAACCACGGAACCAAGAGCAGATTCCGAGCACAAAAATACAGACAAGGATATCGCTCCGGACCGTGACAAAAATCTGACCATATCGCAGCAACGTCTCAGCGTACGTCTTGATATTACCCGGCAAGAATGAGACGATGGTCCAGGCGATCCCACTAGGCGGCGCGCGGCCCCTGTCGATGAAGAATCTCGTAGTCAGAAGAATAGCCTCGGCCGTAGCAAACATCCAAAAGAACACTTCCCGGCCCTTTTCCATACTATTCACATCCGTGACCGCCTCGTCGCTGCCGACGGGGTAGCTGTACGCCAGCGCGGTACGCTCGCGCTCGGCCTTGGCGCCGGTGAAAGTTGTAGAAAGAGCAATGTAGAGACCGAGAGAGATGGCGAAGACGGCGTGCAGGATGCGCCAGAGGTACGCGGAGCTGGCGTCCGCTTGCTGCTGAGGGGTCTGCATGCCGGGCATGCCAGGCATACCAGGGAATCCGGGCGGGAAACCCTGTGCTCCTGCACCACCCGGGAAACCTGGGATTCCACCAGCGCCGCCTGCGCCTGCCATCATCTGTGAAAGCATCTTCATCAAGGGGTCGTCCTCGGCGCCGGGCATGCCACCAGCGGCCGCGAACGGGTTCATGGGCGGGGGGCCTCCAGCTCCGGGGCCGGGACGGTCGAAGCCAAGCATCATCTGTCGCAGCTGATCTTCGCTCATCGAGTTGGGGTCGATAGGGGGTCCTGAAGGACGCGGGGTGGTGGCAGGCTGGTAGAAGTGTTGCGAGATGTCGATTTCCTCGGGGTCGGCGTGGTCGGCGGTCGCTGGCTTGGGCAGAGAGGGAGCTGGCGAGGCGGAGGGAGCGGGAGAATCTGCCGTCGAGGAGGCATCTGGGGATGGGACGGGATCATCTGCTTTCAATCTCAGTACGGAGTCACAGGAAAAGAGGGAACGGCAGGGAGCTCTGCAAGCTACTGCTTCAAACAGGGTCGAATAGTACCTCGCTGGAAGCCTCCACCGAGACCGGTGATCTTGTTCAATCTGGCTGTGCCGCCAGCACGAATCTTAGCTTCGCGCTTTGCCTTACGGAGGCGTGCTTGTTCTGCCGCGCGTGCTGCAGCCGCATCTTCAGGCGTCGTGTCCGCCATTTTGCTGTCGTTTGGAGTGTTTGGACGTGGGAAGGGTGAGGGTGTGACGTGTGACGTGAATGGATAATTTGGTGGTGGCACAATGACCTGCGCTTATCTTATCGGAGACAGGGCCAACTCACCAGCAACCCCTTTGAACGACGACGGTTGTACATAATAGAGTATATGAACCCATATGAAAAGCAATCGCTCTAGAACAGGAAGAAAAAAAATTGATTATCTCATGTTTAAATCACCGTGCTCTGGAAACTACATGTTCTACAGTCCTACTATCATCGTCACAGCTGCTATCTTTGTAGTCGTCTTCGTTGTCTCCGTCGTCTTTACTGTTGCCAATTTAATCCTTTGCGGGTTTAGTACGAAATGACATGAGAACGTCGAGGATCTCGTCATATTCAGGCATTTAAACACAATTTCTTCATTCGTTTTAATTCTAATGTATACGTAAAAGTTGCAACTGGCTATCATCAACTACCCATTCCTGACGCCACCAGCACTTCAATCAAGGCATTTATGGAGTGGCCTTGCTCATGCTGATCAATCGCTTGACACCCACCTGACGTTCCTGTTAGCTTTTTGATCTCATCAACATCTTCCGAGGTGTACTTACCATCCAGTTGCCGCATTCGTCAGTCTTCTCCTTCTGAATCTCAACTTGAATCTTGTGGGCCACCTCGTAGTTCTTCTCGTTGAGAGCCTCGGCCAGAGCCGCAAGCTGGTCGATAGTGTCGGGCTTGACGAGCTCCTCGTTGTTAAGGTGGTCGAACAGAAGGTTGAGACGCTTCTGGGTATCCTTGACCTGGGCGGCAAATGATGCAGGCGCCCGCGATGCCACACGCTGCATGTCTGAGTTCATGATGTCTACGAGACGCTGGGCATGGTCCGGGATGTGAGACCTATCACCAGCGGGATGCCTCGGCTTCGGCGGGAGAGCAGCTGCCTTCGGGGGAGGAGCAGTGACGATGGCAGCAGGGGGAGGTCCGCCAGCAGGGGGAGGTCCGCCAGCAGGGGGAGGTCCGCCAGCAGCGGGAGGAGGTCCCGTAGGAGGCCTGGATGCGGCGGGCGGAGGAGCAGTAGCACCCGCTGGAGGAGCCCCGTAAGGCGACGGCGTATACTGGTTCTGAGGTGTGCCCGCCTGGGGCGGCGGAGCGTACGGGTTCCTAGGAGGCGGCTGGCTACCCGGAGGTGGTGCTGATCCCATGGGTGGATGACTGATCTGAGGCTGTGCCGACGCCGCGGGGGCGTAGCGGTTAGATGGAGGGGCGCCAGACGGGGGCGGGTTGTACGGGGACGGGCCACGAGCAGCAGGCGGCGGCATCATGGAAGGCGGTGCGCCAGCCTGGGGCGGGGGAGGTGCGTATGCATTTGACGCCGCTGATGTCGGCCTAGGCGGTGCCTGGAATGCCTGAGGAGGGCCGGCAAGAGGAGACGTAACGCGAGGAGGGGCAGGTCCCTTAGGAGGAGGTGGTGGAGGAGTTGAGCCGGTGCGGCCGTAGGGGCTCTGAGGAGGAGCGCTGCCATGGGTCGCCTGGCCCGGGAAAGGGGCCGTGATGGGTGCCACGCTGGGCGTGGTCTTACGGGTAGGCACCTTGGTGACTAGAGGCACATCGTTCCAGCTCTCCTTAGGGCGGAAACTGGATGTGGGCGTTGAGTTTCGTGGAGGCGGGGGCACGGAGCCGAAGTTGCTAGGAGGTGGTCTGTAACCAGTAGGCGGCGCTCCGTATTGCTGAGCGGCCGGAGGCTGGTAAGCTTGTCCCGGCGCGTACGGTGATTGAGTGGGAGCCGGGTTGTAGTTGATGGACGGGGTAGGGGCATATGGGTTTGACGCCGCAGCCGATACAGAAGAACCAACCAAGGGGGGTCCAGGGGGAGCATAAGCGTTCGACGCTGCAGCAGGCACAGAAGAACCAGCGTAGGTAGGTCCAGCCGGAGCAACAGGCTGATAGGCCGGGGTGGCTATCGCGTTGTTCACTGCGGGAGTCTGTCCAAGACGACGGCCAGCAGCCGCAGCGGCCTTGGGGGCGGCTTGGGTAGCAGCACCCTTCTGAGTCGCAAGTCTCAGGCGGTTTCTGGAGATCTCTGCCGCGGGGTAGTTATCAGGCAACAGGTCCAGATACTTCTGCGCGACAGCAAGTTGGCCGTGAGCGGCGATGATATCGGCATACTCCGTGTACTTCTCGTACAGGGCAGACAGCTTCCAGTCCGCGCTTTGGCTCTTTTCTGTATCCTGGAACTTGGTGACTTGGCGGAAGATGGTGACCTTCTCAATGAAGTGCTGGAGAGACCGAGCATGGACAGAGAAGGTTGAATCATCACTAGGCTCCTTGACACCAGCTTGCTCAGCCTCCTCGAGCTCGTTGATCCAGATCGAGACGACCTTCTCGAGCTTGGAACCGACGAGGTAGCAGAACGAGGCATCCTTGCGAGAACCGCTTTCAAGAATGCGGTCTCCCAGAGCGTCGCAAAGATCAGGGAACTCCTTGGGGTCGGAGAAAGTGCACAGAATAGCCATTGTCTCCTTCCAGTTCTCAAGGTCCGCGTTGTACACGACATCCCACAGGTTCTTGGCGATGACAGACCCCAACAGACGGACGTAGCTAGGGACGCCATCCTTGCTGGCCAAGTAAGCAGATTGCACCTTGTCCACCAACGGCTGGCCGCCGCAGTTAGCGATCAAAAATGCATCAGCCCAGCGCTGCTCCTTCAGAGAGATTTCGGTAGCCTTGGCGAAGTTACCGAGCATCAGAGCCTTGGTGATGGACTTCTCAACCGCAGTATCGGTGTCAGCGAGGAGGTGGAAGGGGCTATCGGTCTTGGCTCCCTTGTTGGCCGACAAGTTGGACAGGAAGTCTTCGCCGTCGCCCTCGCCATCGCCCCACATGTTGTCGTCGTCCTTCGCCTCTTTCTTCTCCTCAGCGACTTCTTCGGACTTATCCTCCTCATCCTTGGAAACTCCGTTGGTGATCTCCTCCTCGGTGAAACCAAGATACTCGATGATGCGCTTTCGGGGGTTCTCGGCAGTAAGAGTCTCCATGACAAGCCAATCGGCCTTTTCCTCCTCGCTTTTGGCATCTTCCTTCCGAGACTCACAAAGGCTGACAATGTCACCAGACTGGAGGGCCTCCTCAAACTTCTCAGTTGCAGTTCCCACAGCAGTGTCGACAGCAAACTGCGAAATGGAGATCTTGGAGGTTCGCTGGGCAGCGTTTTGCTTGAAAATGATGAGCTTGCCGCCAAAGCCAAAGTTGGCACCAATCGGGCGCTCGAACCACTTGGGCGCCTTGCTCAAGGAGAAGGAAGCCTCCTGGGGCTGAGTCTGCGCGCTTGTGAAAAAGTCCTCGCCATCCAGGTTGTTTTGTGTCGCAGCCTGGGTGGTTGAGGGGTTGGTGTTCTGGAGGGTCTGAATGGCGATCTTGCCATCGAAGCCTGCAGTAGCAGACAGGTTGGCGTTCGAGGGGTTGAAGCGGGTGAGGAAAGTCCAGTTTGTAACCTCGGGGAACTCTCCATATCGGTCACCGGTCTGGGGGTTCCAGACCAAGGTCCTGTTGTCTTTGCCACAAGAAATCAACAGATCGCTGTCCTGCTGGCACCAAGACAGAGACAGAACGCCCTGCTCGTGTCCCTGAAGCGTACGCTCTGGCGCATTGGAGTTTCTGAGGTCCCACAGGAAGATGAGGGGGGCAGTGTCATCATATGTGGAGGTCAGAAGCTTGGTCGAGTTGTTGGGGTCCCAAGCGATCGCGCTGACGGGTTTCCTGTTGTTGTTGAGCGTCAGGGAGGCCTTCTTCGTCTTCAAGTCCCAGACGGTGACGAATCCACCGGATCCTCCAGTGGCCAGAATATGCGCAACCTTGCGGTTCCATGCTACGCACTCCAGGTCGTCTGAGCGAGCGGCAGCGGTGCCGAGTCTGAAGGGGTTGGAAACATCGTTGACGTCCCAGATGAAGAGCTCTCCCTTTGCGCCGGCGGTTGCGAGAATTTGAGGTCGATGGGGGTTGAACTGGAGTGACTTGATCGCACCGGAGTGCTTGGTCGTTCGGGACATGTGGGCATCGTCGTCGCCATCGATGAGCTTCTCGGCATCCCATAGGTCGAGGGAGCCATTCTCCAGAGCGCCGGCGATAATACCCCGCGGGTGGTCGGAGTCGGGAGGTCCCCAGGTGATATCGTAGAATCTAGGGATGCCCCGTGAGTGACGAACTTGGTTAGGTTGGACGTCGGCGATGCCTACCTCGAGTCGGTGTTAATGCTGGCTACCGGCTGCAGCTCAAGGCCCTGCTCTTGGTTGTCGAGGTTGAGGTCCCACAGCTCGAGCTTGGTCTCATCAGAGAAATCGGCATCGACAGCTCCTGCTCTGGTACCGGTGATCAAGAGAGGCTTAGATGGGTCGGGGGACCAGGCGAAGGCCGCGGTCCTCGGGATCTCGCGAAGGCGAACCATGGTTGCGAGAATCACTCAGTCCCCAGGACTGCACTCGGAGGGAGGGGAGAATCGTAGCAAAGAAAAGGGTCTACCAGTCGAGGCAACTCAAGCACGACTACAAAGTGGCATTGGCTGAATACAAGTAGACAAAAATCTGGAGGGGGTGGCCCAGATACAGACGTGGTGAAGAAACGCAGCCTAGCCTTGCGAGAAAGGTGGCTGTTGCCGTGGATTATGGACTGCAGGTAATAGCACGCTGGCCTCTATCCTTGGGTTATGATGCCAGATTGCAGCCCACATCCAGGTTCAAGCTCCCCCAAAACGTAGGCTCCACGTCCACCCAGGACCGTGCACCTGTCGCCTGCCTTACACTGGCATTAGAAAAATTGCGTCACGTGCATTCAGCAGAGCTCATGTCTGGCTCGGCCAATGGTGAGTGAACCAGAGCTATTGCACTGAAACCCCGCCAAACACACGAATCGCTCTCAGTGAGGCTGCTAGCCGCTTCTGAATTTCACGATAATTTGATCTTGACCGCGCCAACTTACCGAAACACCACGGAAAATAATTAGCAACGATGACGGACGCCTCGCGCTGGAAGGCCACTGTATTTGTGGGTGGCCTAGCTTCTGCAGTCACAGCCTCCAATGTTCACGACGCGTTCATACCGTTCGGTGAGATCGCAGACGTATCGCTCCCCAAGAACGACAAGCCGAACTCAACAGAGCCTCATAGAGGATTCGCCTATGTTGAGTACGAGGACGCCGAGGACGCAAAAGAAGCAATCGACAACATGGACCAGTCGGAATTTTTCGGGAGAGTCCTCAAAGTTTCAGCCGCAAAGGTACCAAAGAGTGCCGACGAAGGTCTCGGTAGCAAGAAGGCGCTTTGGGAACAAGTACGTCACCACCCGCTTGAGTCATATCGATACTGACTGCGCTCATAGGAATCATGGTTGGCTGAGAATGCTGTGAGTGAAGAGGACAGACTCGCCTCAGAGCAGGCGCAGGTTGAAGTGCGTGGGGATGACCCCATGCAGGGTCTGGAGGGGCTTGATGTCGCGGGACCGAGGCCGGAGTGAGGGGGATTTGAAGTTTGACTTGGGTCTCTTTTTTGTTTCTCTTTGGCATAGCGATGGCGTTCACACGGTTGCGAATGTACAAATGGACCTGGCCTTCTCCCCGAGACTGGGACGAGAAGCACAATTGAGAAAGGAAAATGAAAACAGCGTCTCTAGTGCCTTTGGATCTGTCTGTCGTCGTTGACATATACAAATGTTTCCCCCCTCTAATCACACATCGACACTGTGGTCAACCGTCTCCCCTCATTATCCCGTTCACCATCTAGTGGTGCTCCCTGGCCTCGGCGGCATCGGCGGCGGCCTTGTTCTGGCGCTTGATGCGGATGGTGCTGTCGGTCATGAAGTGGCGACCGATGGAGTAGGTAGCAGCGGCCAGGGCGAAACCAACGACGACACCTGGTTACGTCAACAATAGTCCGGGCTGGCATCTTCATATTCCGGGTCTGACATACCGAGGGGGATCAACTCGGGGGGGATCTGGCGGAGCTTGCGCAGTCTCTGGGAGACGGTGTGGCCTACGGCAATTCATGTCAGCGCTCGCATTCGGTGTCGCAAGGGCGGTCGCAGTCGTCGATGTTCATGTCCGATATCGTGGAAGGCTTCAATGGCTGGGGCCGGGGGTGGACATACCAACTTGGTCCTCGGCCTGAGGGAAAACGTCACAATTAGCTACGGCGGTCCGTTTGGAGACAGCGGGTTTTTTTAACATACAGGAACCGGGGACCTCATGCGCATGGTAGGGCGGAAAGCACGGAGACCGAGAGTAGGACGCATTTTGACGGTTTTTGTGTTTTTTGAGGGGAGATTTTCGGGTTTTCGGTACAGCTGAGGGAGCAGTCGTTCGCTGATCGGGATTGGATCTCGAAATGAGTGTTTAGAAGTTGAGCCGGCTACCATCAGTCTGGTCTGATGTTAGGCGGGAGCTCGGCCCACCTTTGCAATGCCTGAGGCCCGATTGGCGCATGTCAGGCATCCACACCCGTTCTCGCCCGTCACCATTCACCACCTGATTCTTGGTGCAGAAACGACCTTCAATTGATCTCACTGCAACAACACCAATCGCACGTCGCTGCCCACTCTGCTCCATCACCGAACCGACTTCCAGTCAATTGCACCTCCACGCAGTCAAAATGGCCGACGATCAGGAACTCGTTACCAAGCCCTTCAAGTTCGTCACTGGTACGTCGTGAAATATCCCTCGTCCCCCCCAGCATGGCCTGATCTTTTTCCGAGGCTAACGTAACTTGTAGCCGGTATGTGCCCTCCGACCGACCCCACGATACCCGCGATGCGACCGCGTCAATTGACATCGGCCACTATGGACGAATCCCTAACCTGAGCTTGTATAGGCACCGATGCCCGCTTCCCGAACATGAACCAGACCAAGCACTGCTGGCAGAACTACGTCGACTACCACAAGTGCATCAACGCCAAGGGCGAGGACTTCGCCCCCTGCCGCCAGGTCCGACTATCTTGAAGTGCTGCTGGAGGAATCGACAACTAACGTTTTGTAGTTCTGGCTCGGCTACCGCTCCCTCTGCCCCTCCGGCTGGTACCAGCGCTGGGATGAGCAGCGCGGTCAGTACCAAATCCCGATATCAAGGAACCTCGTGCTGACAAAGAACAGAGGCCGGCAACTTCCCCGTCAACCTGAACGCATAAGCGATATTGGAGTAGGCTGTACGCAAGTTAGACGGAGGAGCCGGGCGACTGTATTACTTCCAGATGGATTGAGACATCAAATAGAGCATCGGAGGATGTGTCGTGCGACGAGGCTAAAAGCGCACACAGGCGCTGAATGTGAATTCGTGACAGACTGTCTGTAATGCCCGTCCATTATTGTCATTTTATCAAAAACGCAAGCTCGCTGCCTTCCCGTAACTGATCTCCCGGAACTCCGTTCGCCTCCGATGGCGCAAACTCATTGCAAATATGTACTCTCAATGAAAATGAGAGAACACTTGGTTTCACTTGGCCTTTCCCTTGCCCTTAGGATCTTGCTCATCCTCATCGGAGCTCATAAACTCATCGTCTTCGTCAAAGCCGAAAAATGTTCTGGGCTTATCCTTGGAGGTCTTTGCCGGTTCTGATGGAGGCGTGGATTCCTTGGAGCTGCCGCCCTCTTCATCCTCTTCATCGCTCGTCATGGCCTCGTCCGTCTCCTCAGAGCCGGTAGACACTTGCGATGTGCCGAGCAGATTGTCCTTGTAGTTGCCAGCCTTCATCGCGGCGAGGACGGCCTCACGAGTCCTCTCATTTGCCTCTTCTTTGTCTTCGACCCACTTGCCGTCCAGCCGACCCTTGCCGCCGTTCCTGATTTCATCCTCACGCTTCTCTGACATTTCGACGATTTGCTCCCATCTTTCGCGGCGCTTCTCCTTTTCCTTCTTCTCCATCTCCGGCTTAATGGCGAGGTATTCCGCCAGAGCCTTTGCTTCAGTCACGGTGCGTAGACGTCGGCCATCCAAATTTCTGCTTGAGTTGTTGGCGTCTCCCTGGTTGCGCTTCTTCTTGGATGACATGCGACCTCCGGCAGCTCTCAGCTGGGATCCGAAACCACCCTTGCCACCACATAGCGGCAGCGACAGGCGCAGAGAGACGAAGTCATCTGATTCAGACGAGAGGAGGTCGGCAACTTGAGCTGTGGAGGACGGCGATAACTCCTTGTTTGATACAGTCGTCAAGATCAGGCGGTTTTCAGTCGCGGGCAGGCGCTCATTCAGTTGCTGGCGCAAATCCGATAGAGTAGTTGAAGAAGGCACAGGAAGCACCAAAGTTGACGGGCCTAGGCCAGCGAACGTGCTGACGAAGACGTTGATGTTCTTCACGGCCATCTCGAAGCGTTGACGTTGTTGACGTCGTGGTTGTCGGTATCGTCGATGTAATGGGGCTGCGATGTGACGAACACGCGAGGCGATGAAATGCGATGTTCACCTGGTGACGCTACGCTTATCAGCGATAAGGCCGGGGGTATGGGATTTGGCGCGGAGGGAAGAGACGGAAAAAAAGAAAGGAAAAAAGGTGGCTCAACGCTCAAGCCACAGTAGATTTCTCGGCAGCGGGGGAGGAGCACCGGCCATCGAGGGACCTCAGAGCACCAAGTACAGTGGGCAAACACCTAACCGTCCACTGGAGCGACTCGCCCAGCACGTGACAAGGCCCACCCGATCCAGCAATTGCGACCAGTGTGCCCGAAAAGACAAGTGGGGCCCACACAAACGAGGGCTTGATTTCGAAAATTCAAGAGCGACTGTCGCTGTTGTACGTTCTATATTCCTGCCACCACGACTTCACCCTTCCCAACATCGACCAGCAAGCGACCCGACAACCGCCACGATGTTGATTCCCAAGGCCGACCGCAAGAAGATCCACGAGGTTAGAATTACCATTTCGCCGGCGCGCGAGGAGAATTGCACGCCGTAAGCTCGTCGACGAGAATGCTGACGATGGAAATTTAACAGTACCTCTTCCGCGAGGGTGTCCTCGTCGCGAAGAAGGACTACAACCTCCCCAAGCACCCCGATATCGACACCAAGAACCTCTTCGTCGTCAAGGCTTGCCAGTCCCTCACCTCCCGCGGCTATGTCAAGACCCAGTTCTCTTGGCAATACTACTACTACACCCTGACCCCCGAGGGTCTCGACTACCTCCGCGAGTGGCTTCACCTCCCCGCTGAGATCGTTCCTGCCACCCACATCAAGCAGCAGCGCTCCCACGCTCCTCCCCGCGGCATGCTCGGCGAGGGCGAGCGCGAGAGAAGGCCCTTCGGCGGCCGTGGCCGTGGCGAGCGCGGTGACCGTGAGGGTGGCTACCGCCGCCGTGATGCTGGCGAGGGCGGCAAGGAGGGTGGTGCCCCTGGTGGATTCGAGCCCCAGTTGTAAGCATTCCCCCTATGCACTGGCGATTCGATCTCGCCTGGACTTTGTCGGCGCATTCCAACAATCTCGAAGACAGTCTGCTAACTGACTACTTGTAGCCGTGGTGGCTTTGGCCGTGGCCGTGGCGCTCCCCCCTCGTAAGAGGTCTCTTTCCTATCGGCTTTTACTCTCGAGACGCATTGGCAAAACAAAAAAAGGCACCGACATGTACTCTAAAAAGTGGATGGCCGGAACAGTCGCGCGTCTGTCAACGTCACAGACTACGGGGGAAACATCGTGGGAGTTTGGAGGTTAGATCCTCGGAAATCGTTTGCATCAAAAGGTCATGAATTGCAGCCTGCGGCTTGTGCTGCTTCCTCCAAACCGTGAAACGCCACAATTTGTGTCTCTTTTCTTTGCAAACGCTGTGATGAGCCAGCGGTGTCTGCCGGTCGAGCACGTGGGGGTGGTGCTGAAATCTCGAGAGGTCACGTTTGAAACCTCTGGTATGCATGTCAAGGGGAATGAATGGGAAAAGAAAAAAGAAACGAGGACTCCTGGTTTTTTTTATGGGTGTTCTCGGAGTCGGGCTGGAAACGAAAGGGATCGGTCTGGCCTTTGGGAATGTTGAGAGCGGCTCTCCTGCGGTAAGCATCGACGCCAACGCCGACGCCGACGCAGACGCACGTAGGAAATAGCTTCAGCAAGCTGCCCTCACGAATGAACGTATCGTATACTGCACTTTTTGAGACAGCCCCTGTAAAGAAGCAATGCGCGATGTAGCCGTGTGGTAGCCAACCTGCTTTGACGCCGTGAATCTGTCGCCAGCCCTGCCCAGAAGCGGCAAGTGTGGTAGAGCAGGTGTGCTCGAGTAGGAATGCCGAGGAGTGTTGGGCATGCTTCGACGAAGTGGCGGTGACTGCTGCTGAAGCTGGGCCGCTGCTGCGCGAATCTCATGACTGCCAGGTCTTCCGATGCTCTTGCAAGAGTCTCATTCGTGCCCCGCGTAAGTTCGGGAAGCGATTACCATCTCCACACCTTTATTTGCTGTCTTGTCTCAGCGAGCGAGATGCGAAAGATTGGCTTGGAAGGGACGAGGGGATGCCTTCCTCAACGCACTAACTGGTTTACCAACTGTCAACTGCTAACCTCACGTCGGGTTGCAGCATGTCTGTCTCGCCTTCCTGACCTCCCCTGCCTCCTGCTGTTTGACTTTCGTGCATGTAAACCAGTTTCCGGACACTGTTGCCTCGATACCCCCGAGCCGCGGGATGAGAAGGAGGGATGAAGATAGGGGTGGCTGTGGCTGATCCAGGAAGTATCGCCTTACTTTGCATGCAAGTCACCTCAGAGTCCTTTCCACGGCCATCTCCAATCACACACCACCTTCCAAATACACAATTGACCACCCTCCGAATACTCCGTAAGCGACGAATCTTTTTAGAACTCATTGACAAGTCGATCAGATGAACATTCAACATCATTTGCAGGCCATAGGACTTTGTGGCACAGCATAACTGCCATGGCCCGATTTAAGCTTATGAACCACTGAACCACCGAACGCAAAATTCCGCGTCGCACAAAACGGTGGAAAGTCATACCAGAGCCTCGAGATGCCATCCGTATCCGTGCCATCCCACCCGCTCGCGCCAACCCGGTACGTAAGCCAGCTCCAGGTGGAGGGAGCGTCTCCACGCCAAGGGCCGGACACGGAGAGGGCCAGCAAACCGGGGAACGGCCGGAAGAGGGCCACCACACCAGGGTAGCGCGTGGACAGAGCCAGCCTGAGGGATTGTCGCGGGCGCGGGCATGGAAGCGGCAACGCGGTCGAGGCCAGGGGGCTAGTGTGTAAGTTCAATGTCATGTGCCGTGAAGTGTCACCACGTTCTCACACTCCCTGAAGCTTACGGGAGGGTGGTTTTGTTGAGGCGAGCTGCCTGCCACTCCTCTGCTGGTCAGTCTCTCGGGGGGGATGGCGGATGTGCGAGATAAGCACCCCGCGGGCGGTGGCCAAGTGGAGCTTGCCAGTCGCAACGCAATGGAATACCAGAGGAGAAGCTTTGAGGTGGTCTTTTTTTCGCTGATGGTGGTGTCAGTTTTTCTCGCTCACTCTCTCGGAGTTGCAAATTGAGTCCAGAGGACCAGGGCCCCGTTCACCCCCTCTTTCCCTTTCCGATGCATCTTGTCCGTCTCGCGATCGTCTGACTGGCTGGAGAGCACATTGTCGACCCCATCGAGGTGGGATGAGCTGCTGCCAGACATCGGACTGCCTGGCATCTGTCGAGTGGGGTTTGGGCGCGTCGCCAGCCATTCTCGTTCTGCCCCTCACTTCATAGCTCAATGTGTTCCAAACTTCTGTTCACTTCTCCCTGCGCTCGCTGCGGCGTTACAACTGAGCTGCCCTCCGCAGTCAAGCAACCTGCCCCTCCCCAATTTTTCAAGGCCAGCAAGTTCTGGTTGCCAGTGGCAGCCCTGCTTGATGACGCCGAGTGCGCAGCTAGTGCTGGCGGGGAGCTCCCAAGGCGGGGCAACAGGGGTGAATAGCACGGTGACGGGCATTACAATGGGACTCTGCCTTGACCTTCCTTCATCCACTGTCGCCCATGCAATTCTTCCTTCACCGATTCAATGAATTGGCCAGAGTATACCGGGTCTCGCCACGGGCATGGCATGCCGCTTCGTGTATGTACTATGATCATAAGGTGGCCGGGTGGTACGTGGAGCTGGACGAGGGGCCGAAGGCGATGCATGCGCAGACGCGGAGGTGGATATGTGGATTGTGGATGCGGGATGCAGCTAGAAGGCATCCCACTACTTCTACCTCATGGCGCAAAGCGTAGGTACCACAGCATATTGGCCCTTTTACTCCAAAAAGTACATTCGGTGTAGACTGGCGAGCCTCGCCGGCTCGATCCCAGGGAGCGTCGAGATGTCGGAACCCTGAACTCAGACACGCAGACCATGGACCCTGGCTTGCCTGCCCCCTCTCCATCCCAGATGCGCCCATTCCCCGCGCTGCCCAGAACGCGGGCTTGTTGATGACGCTGCTATATAAGAAGCTGCTGCCACCTCCTCAATTACTTAGAAGTCACCTTCAAGCTCCTATTCACTGTTCCCCTCCTCTTCGGTCGTGAGCTTTTTCTGTACGTTGGTGCTCTCCTCCCCCTAGCTAGCCCTAGCCCTTCGTACTTACACGTCGATTCCAACTTCGAGCAGCTAATCTCTCCAGAAACCCAATCACAACCCAACACAGCCTTCACAATGTCGAACCTCCCCAAGCAGATGAAGGCTCTCCGGTATGCTTCTTTCCCAGATCGATGAACAGTTTCTCGAGCTCTCGACGACCCCTCGCGTCCCTTGCAGCTTGGCTCACTGAGCATCATTTTACCCCTCCATCGGCGATCGGCTGACCCCTCACCCAGATACGAGAAGCCTGAGGATTGGTCAATTGTCCAGGTTCCTCTCCCAGAGCTCCGCGAGAATGACGTTCTGGTCAAGGTTCGGGCTTGCGGTGTTTGTGGTACTGGTAAGTGGTTTTGCGCATGTCCCCCACCCCAAATGCATGGTTTTTTGGCGCCATTGAGGACCCGCGGAACTAACAGTCGGCCACAGACTTGGTAAGATTTTCTCGCCGAACCTCGAGACTCGATATTTACAGGCGTCGCAGCACATCCACGAGGGCGAGTTCATCGCCAAGTTCCCCTTGATCCCTGGCCACGAGACCGTCGGTGTTGTCGCCGCTGTTGGACCCGTACGTACCTTGCCAAAATGATTGAGCAATCCTCAAAGACTCACACTAAGACGCCACAAACAGAAAGTCAAGGACTTCAAGGTTGGCGACCGCGTCGCTGCCGACAACTCCGAGCTCTGCAATGAGTGCTTCTACTGCCGCCGCGGAGAGCTGCTGCTCTGCGAGAAGGTACGGCCCCACTTTCCCACTTACACGGCACCGGAACCCGCACACTGACATTCTTCCCACCCCTCCAGTTCGAGGCCCACGGTGTCACCATGAACGGTGGCTTCGCCGAATACTGCGCATACCCCGCAGGCAAGGTCTTCAAGATTCACAACCTCAATGATGTCGATGCCACCCTCCTCGAGCCCGCTTCCTGCGCCTGCCATGGCCTGGACAAGATCCGCCCCCGCCTGGGATCCAGCGTTCTGATGTTCGGCGCCGGTCCCACCGGTCTTGTAAGTCCGCTCGGACGGAGCTCCGTGACAACCCGGCCGAGCTTTTGTTCCTGACTTTTTGTGTGCGTGATAGATGCTTGCCCAGCTCATGCGCCACAACGGTGGCTGCAACGTCACCATCGCCGCTCCCCAGGGTCTCAAGATGGACCTCGCCAAGAGCCTCGACGCCGCCGACCACTACATTGAGCTCTCCCGCAAGGAGCCTGAGGCACAGTTCGCCCAGCTCAAGAAGGACCACCCGTACGGCTTCGACGTCGTCGTTGAGGCCACTGGTTCCGTCAAGATTCTCGAGGACGCTATTAACTACGTCCGTCGCGGCGGCAAGCTCGTCGTCTACGGGTAAGTGTCTTGGGGTGTGTTCCCTCGTTACAACTACTGACCATACGCTTAGTGTCTACTCCGACTCCGCCCGTGTCTCTTGGCCCCCTTCCAAGATCTTCGGCGACGAGATCACCATTCTCGGATCCTTCTCCGAGACCTACATGTTCCGTAAGTGTACTATCACTCTTTTCTATGAGTCCTACTAACAAAACCCCAGCCGCCACCATCGACTACCTCGACTCCGGCAAGGTCCGCACCAAGGGCATCGTCAACAAGACCTTCAAGCTCGAGCAGTTCGGCGAGGCTCTCGAGTCTATCCGCAACAAGAGCGCCATCAAGGCTGCTATCGTCTTCGACGATGCCACCGGAGTGTAAGCTTGTGCGAGTCGCATGCCACTAAGCACGAATGCATAAAACACAAGCACAGAAAAAAAACACATACGCCAAATACCATTTACCCTTCGTGGAGTGTCGTTGTTGCCCTGCTGTTGTTCACGCACGCGTTTCAAAAAAAACAAGAAAAGGTCTCTTTATCTGGCTCATCTCATAACGTTACCTTACTTAGACAAGCATCGGATCGGAGTCAGGGGCCGAGGTTGGTGGGACGGTTGTAGGGCAGGTGGGCGGGCGGGCGGGCGGTTGATGTTGTT